ATTTCAGGACATCAAAGGTTTTTTTTTTATTAAGACCTCACCAGGCAACAAAAGAAAAACCAAAGGGGATTACATCAAACTATGAAGTTTTGTACAGCAAAGGCAATGATCAACAGAGTGAAGAGATAGCCTACAGAATGAGACAAGGGCTTATTTTTAGAATATACGTGCAACTCAAACAACTCAGCAAAAGAAAATCAAATAATCCAGTTTTTTAATGGGCAAATGATCTGAGAAGCCATTTCTCAAAAGGCAAGTATGTGAAAAATACTCAATATCACTAACCATTAGAGAAACATAAATCAAAATTACAGCATATCATCTCACCCCAATCAGAATAAACATTATGAAAGAGACCAAAAAAAAAAAAAAAAAAAGACAAATACTGGTAAGGATGAGGAGAAAGAAGAACTCTTTCTTATACACTGTGGGAAGGCATGCAAAGTAGCACAGCTATTAACAAAAAACAGTATGGAAGTTCTTCAAAAACCTGCAAATAAAACTCTTTATGATCTAGTAATCCTATTATGGTAGATAGCCATAAGAAAGAAAAACAGTATGTTGAGAAATATTTGCACTCCTATGTTTATTTCAGTACTATTCACAATAGCTAAAATATGTAACATAGTCAACCTGTTTCCATCAGCAGACAGATGCATTAAAAAAAAAAGTGGTATGTATGTATGTATGTATGTGTGTATATATATATATATATATATATATGTGTGTGTGTGTATATATATATATATATAGCCGAATACTATTTAATCATTAAAAAGAATGATATCCTGTCTTTCAAGGCACCATAGATGAGCCTGGAGGATATTACATTAAGTGAAATAAGCCAGGCACAGAAAGAGAAAATCTGCTTGTTTTCATCCATGTGTAGAAGCTAAACAAAAACAAAAACAACCCAAAAAAACCAAAGAACCCCCAACAACTTGGCCTTATAGAAAGAGAAAGTAGAATAGTGGTTACTAGAGGGTGAGAAGGCAAAGGGGCTGGGGGACAGGAAGTTAGGTAAGCAATGTAACCATTTAATTAAGCAGCCTCATATGTCAATTTCACTTTACCATTATTTTGTAAACTTGCTGTTAATTAAAATAATTTTTGTGTTAAAAAATGGTAAAAATAAAATTGGATTGTTAGAAAGGAAGGGAGGGGGAGGGTAAAGAAGGCAGGAAGTGAAGAGTAAACAAGCTTGTGAGCCTGTGCCATTAACTTAAGGGCAGTCCTAATTTTATAAATGTATTCTCAAGGTATCCACGAGCAGTTTCATTCAAGAATTTAGTTTCACTTTTTAATATTAATATTAAAAAAGACCTTAAGCACTGCACATGGATTATTCACTTAAATGATGAAAATCCAATTTTATCATTCATAATCATTTATAATGTAAGTCCAGCAATAAAACCAAAGTATTTATAATCACCATCAGTTAATCTAGTTTCTGATATTATTGGATTGTTGGAAAAGTCATGATGCATTTTTGCACAGAAAAACATGTCATGACTTTTCCGACAACCCAATAGCAACATGTGAGATACATGCTGCTTAAAGGATAAGAAAAAACATGCATTGGAAAAAAAATTAAGTTGATCTTTGAACACTGAAGTATTCATAGCTCCTTCTTCTAGCCCAAACATCTAATCAGAATCCATGTATCTTTGAGGAGGACCCTGCTCCTTTAACTGAAGAGGGTCTGCTCCAAATCTCTCTTTCTGGCCCAAATACCCAGCCAGCTTCCACACACTGAGTGTCAAGACAGATCTAGGTGCACAATAGCCAAACATCTGAATACTTTTAGGGTTGAAGAAAGCTTCAACCCCCACTGAACCAGCTGCACAAAGGGAGACACTCATCTTCATAAACCTTAACTCAAATCTCTTTCTGTGGATACCACATTGCAAAACACAGTAGAGGAGAGAAACTGACATAGAAGTTTCTCACAATAAAGTGAAGCATACAAGCTTACAGTAGCAGAAAACTTCTCCAACAAATTAGCCAAAAGTGAATACACCACCAAATGACTAAAAATCAGAGAAGAGAGGGAACCAGCAGTTAGCGTAATGGCTATGTTGCTGGACTCCCACGTAGTCGACCGCGGTTCCTGTCCTAGACCCAGTGGCTTAAAACTCACGCTGGGCGCGTGTGTGTGCGTGTCCAAGATCCCAAGAGGAGAATGGAGGAGAAGGGATTGAGGCGTGACCATCCCCCCTGGGGGGTGATTTCTCGCTTTCTGTCTTTATGTCTCTCTCTGTCTTTCTGCCGAGCGCGCGTGCCCTATAGTGAAAACCTCTCAAAAAAAAAAAAAAAAAATCAGAGAAGAGACTGTGAAGTGAAAAGCAGGGAGAAATACAGAGCTGCAGAAAGAGCGTGGCTCATCTCCTCACACACACCTCTGAACTCTCAGCAGCTCAGCCCAGGTGCACCTGTTCTCTAGAAAATGGGAGGCCTTTGTAATATTCAGTTGCAATGACAAAAGTACAGGTTGCGTGGTGAGCATCAGGAAAATGGAACTGCAGAGATATTGTGGGTCATTACCTCCTGTACACCTCTAAAGCTCAGCATTAACTCCAAGAAATTAGGAAGAAATGTATAATCCACCAGATGACCATAAAATACCACGGAAGCATAAGAAAAGTGAGAAACCAAGAAAATATCTCTCCCCCAAGGGAAAAGGCAGCCTTTCATCATAAACAGACAGTACAATGGAACTCGTGGAAATGTCAGATAAAGAATTCAGAATTTTTATAGTGACAAAACTAATTGAGATGCAAGAACAGAGAGATAACTCCAGAAGATACAAGAGAAAAGACACAATGAGTTCCAGGAGATGAGGAAGTTCTTCAATGATTTGAAAGAAGAAATACACACCATAAAAAAGAATCAAATGGAGATGTTAGAGATGAAAGTTGTAATATGGCAAATCAAAACCTCTCTAGAAAGTATTAAAAGCATATTAGACAATGCAGAAGATGGAATCTCAGGTGTCAAAGAATCAATAAAATGTGGAAAAGACTAGGAAAAAAAGAAATGATAAAAGGGTATAAGTGTGTAAAGCAATTGTGATATGAGAAATGTCATGAATATATTAAGTATATAAAAATACAAATAAAGCTTATTATAATATATATTTATGTATATAAATATATAAAAATTATAACTTGAGAAAACATTCTAAATATAGTAAATCATAAAATGGGCCACAAAAAATTAAGAAATAGGGACCAGCAGTTAGCGTAATGGCTATGACGTAGTCGACCGCGGTCCGAGTCCCGGACCCAGTGGCTTAAACTCACACCGGGCTTGTGTGTGGGTGTGCCCAAGATCCTGAGAGGAGAATGGAGGAGAAGGGATTGGTGTGGCCATCCCCCTGGGGGATGATTTCTCACTTTCTGTCTGTCTCGCTCTGTCTTTATGGCAACCACACGCACCCTGTAGCAAAAACCTCAAAAACCTCAAAAAAAAAAAAAAAAACCCAAAAAACGAAAAACCTCTCCAAAAAAAGAAAAAAAAATCATGGTGGAGAGGTTTTTGCTATAGGACACGTGTGCTCTCCAGAAAGAGAGAGAGACACACAGAGACAGAAAGCGAAAAATCATCTCCCATGGGGGGATGGCTACGCTGCAATCCTTTCTCCTCCTTTCTCTTCTCGGGATCTTGGGCACACATATACAAATGCTTGGTGTGAGGTTAAGCCACCGGGTCCAGTACTCGAACTGTGGTCGACTACATGGGAGTCCAGCGACATAGCCATTACGCCAACTGTTGGTCCCATTTTTCTTTTCTTTTCTCTTAAGAGAGAGATTTGTTATAGGGTACATGCACTTGTGAGTGAGACAGAGAGACAGAAAGCGAAAAATCACTCCCTGTGGGGGGGATGGCCATGCCGCAATCCCATCTCCATTCTCTTCTAGGCATTTTGGGTAAGCACGCACACACACCCAGCATAAGTTTCAAGTTGCTGGGTCCAGGACTGGAACCACAGTTGACTACATAGGAGTCCAGTGACGTAACCATTATTACTATCTACTGGTCCCAAAACCATGATTTCTTTTTTAAGAGCTGGATACTTTTTTAAGAATTACTTTTTATTTAATTTTATTCATTGTCATTATTTTATTCTTTATTTTATTTATTTATTTTTTGAGAGTTTTTTTCGCTATAGGGCGTGTGCCCTCGCCAGACAGACAGAGAGAGACAGAGAGGCAGAAAGCGAGAAATCACCCCCCAGGGGGGATGGTCATGCCGCAATCCCTTCTCCTCCATTTTCCTCTCGGGATCTTGGGCATGCACGCACACGCACCTGGCGTGAGTTTTAAGCCACCGGGTCCAGGACGTGAACCGCGGTCGACTACATGGGAGTCCAGAGACATAGCCATTATGCTAACTGCTTGTTCCCTATTCTTTATTATTATTATTATTTTTTTGAAGTTGACTAGAGACAGACAGAGAGAAGGAAAGTGAGAAAAGTAAGCTGCCAGGACTGGGACTTGAACCATGGTCAGTCATGTGTGAGTCCAGCTGCATCAACCACACCACCAGGCAGCGCCCCCCAAAATCACCATTTCTTAAAAGCAAAAAAACAAAAACAAAAAACAAAAATTTCTCTAAACTTTTCATGATTATAAAAGCAAAACATACTCTGCCATAGACAATGCAAAAAAGCAGATAAAAGAAAATTAAAGCCATCTCACCAACTTGAGGAAAGTACCAGTGTTGATATTTTCATGTGTTTCCTTTTACTTTTTTATTCATTCACTCTTTCAAATAACTGTTGAATGCCTACTACATGTAGGTGATTTACTAAGTGTGGGGAAAACAATGATCAGCAAAGCAAAAAATGGTGAGACTCCTACTTTCATAGACCTTATAATAACATAACTGTTTAAAAGATATTGTTACACAAAATTCCTGTCTCTTGGAAGTTTTCAATCTTGCTAGAGAACATACATTCATAAATATTACAAAGCAGAATGCAGCATGGGCCACAGAATAATGAACAAAGTGCCACAGAAATGGGAGAAATGTACAGAAACACCATAACATATCTTAAGCCTATTTTTGTATCATTGACTACAAAGTTTAGTGGTCTACATAGATATTTTACCTATCATTAGGTTCATATACATTTATTCAACTCAATTTCTCAATAAGAATATTTTCCATTATAAGAGGTGATGTTCATTTCTTTTTTATTTTTAGGTTTTTGCCATAGGGTATGTGTGCTCGCCGGAGAGACAGAGAGAGGGAAAGTGAGAAATCACCCCCTGGGAGGATGGCCACATTGCCATCTCTTCTCCTCCTGGAATTTTGGACAAATGTGTATACGTGCCCAGCATGAGTTTCAAGCTGCTGGGCCTGGAACTCAAACCATGGTTGGCCATGTGGGAGTCCAGCACCTTAACCATCACGCCACCTGCTGGCCCCCTCATTTCCTTTTTTATTGGCACTAATAGCTTGTTATGCAAACATACATTTACTAATAACTGGTTCTTTGAGCTTACACTCTGCATCCTGATTGGCAATAAAAAGCTAAAACTACAATATTTAGCCTCTGAGGAAGAAATAATTTAAGTCTCACTTACTGAATTCTCTGGAACAATGTCTTTCAATGAGCATAGCTGTGCTAATGGTGGGATGTTGCTCAGCACTCCTTCAAAATAAGGTTCAGATTTCCTTAGAACCAGGCATAAGTCATTTACTGTAGTATGCTGCTCAGCAATGTGCTTTGGTCTCACAAGGTTATCACCAACTCTAGGAAAAATTCCAATAATATTTATTGAAAATGCTTCAAATTTGAACTTACCCCATAAAATGCATGCATTTCTAAGGATACTTTCCTTATGTTAAATCTTCTACAAAGTTATATGCCAAAGTCATACTTACTAAAGAGATCTAAGTTTCCATAAGAACACTGTTTTTAACCTATAAATTAAATCTCAGATTTAACTTTATTTTAAAAATTTATTTCTATTATCTTTCATATACCCATTCAGTTTAAATTTAAAGAGGAAAGAGACCCTCTCCCCCAAATATAAATCTATTTATTATGTTGCATTATATTGACAATGCTATAGTTAATACTGTCCTTAACTACAGAAACATTTTCAGTTTATCCTTAGAAGATCAAGAAAAACAATGTTTTTAATAACTAGAATAAGTTAGATAGTATGTCACTTTAACATGAATTAAATTATAGAAATCTAACATTAAAAATTAACCCAATCATCCTGCAGTTAACTGTAACACTTTATTTCAGAGAATTAGTTTTGTGCATTTTTCCTGTTTTGAAGCAACATGAGAAGAGTCCTTAAGTTTGGAGTACTCCTGAGCTCCTCTTCTAAGAATACTGATAAGTGATAATATCTCATTTATTTAGTAAGACAAATACAAAGCAAAACAATAAAACATATGCCCTGAAAATGAAGAACAATAAATTACTGTTTCTGTCCTTAATTTCCTTTCTTCTTTCATCCCCCTCCTCTACAGGCCAGTAGCACTTAATAGTTATAAATATCATACCCTGTAACAACTAGGACTTCAGAATTTCCAAAATCTACCATGAATATTTTTATTAGTGCAACTTCATGAACTGAGAATTTGGTTGGTCTACAAGACTTCCTGATATTTTTACTTTCTATTGGAATTAATTCAGTGATAGTTCCTCGACACCACATTCCATTTTCAATACTGCTGACAAATATTTTTGAACCTAAATAATGAGGGAGACAAATCATTAGCAATATGCATGGAGAAAGACACCTAATAAGTTCTAATTTAGAAACACATTTCACTACTAGGAAGTCTTAATTCATTTACTTACTGATGATATAATACTGTATCAAGCATTATGAGAAGGATATACAGCAGTAAATTATGTCAGTTTCTGTTATACAGTAACGTACAAGCTAAACAAGGAACAAAAGCACAGACTACTAAAGTCAGCAGTCACTTAACAAGCTATGATTTCTGAACTACATTAACAAAGATGATGAGATCATCTTGCCATCAAGGAGTCAAGAAAGGAAGAGAGACAGGTAAATACTTGGTTGTCAGAAAAGTCATGACATATTTGTTCTGTTATTCAAAGGTCATTTATTTATATATAAGAACAAAGATCAGGGCCAGCAGGTGGCCTAGCGGTTACATTGCTGGACTCCCATATAGCCAAACATGGTTCCAGTCCTTGACCCTGTGGCTTGAAATTCATGCTAGGTGGGTGTGCATGCATGCCCATGATCCTAGGAGGGGAAGGGATTGTGGCATGGTCCTCCTCCCCTCACCACACCTCTGGCCACCTTTCTTTCTCCCTGCCTCTGTTTCTCTTTCTCTCTGGGAAGCACATGTGCCCTAAGGAAAAAAATATAAAAAAAGGAGAGAGAACAAAAATCAATGAGTGATATGTTGCCTGTTTTGTTCTATAACCTTTTGCCAACTTTCAGTGAGCTCCATAATTCCTTGTTCATAGAATGACCTTTTTTGGTGACAAAGTGAACAAGGTGCTGATTTACAACCTCATCTGAACTGAATGTCATACCACAGAAGGACTTTTGAAGAGAGCTAAACAAGTGGAAGTCTGATGACATAAGGTCAAATGAGTACGGTGGATATGACAACACAGTCCATCCAAGTTCCAATAATTTTTGACAGGTGATCATACTTATGTATGGTCTTGTGTTGTTGTCATGGAACACAACTCCTTATGATCAATGAGCTCTAGGTGTTTCTGGATGATGGATTTGTTCAAACTATGCAATTGCCGATAGTACAGATTCAAATTGATTGACTGGTTTCTTGGTGGAGCTCAAAAAACACGACACCTTTAAAATCCCACCACTCTGAGAACATAACCTTGTTTTGATGAATGTCTACTTTTGGTGTTGTTTCAGGCGAATCATCATGTCGAGGGAGATCGACCATTTGCACACCACATTGGTGTAAATGATCCACTTCTCATCACAAGTTATCAGTCACTTCAAAAAAGGATCATTTCCCTAATGGTTATGAGCATTTAGCAGATGCTTGCATGTACTGTCAAATGAACTTCTTTGAGCTCATGAGGAACCCAAATATCATGTTTTCTTATGTATCCCAGCTTCTTCAGGGGGTTGTGAATGCTTGAATGATGGATGTTCAACATTTCTGCAATCTCTCATGTTGTGTAACATGGGTTTGCCTTTATTTTGTCATCATCAACCTTAGTGAGCCTCCCTGACCAAGGAGTATCATTAAGATAAAAATTACCGGGACCAGCAGTTAGCATAATAGCTATGTCGCTGGACTCCCATGTAGTCAACCACAGTTTGCATCCTGGACCCGGTGGCTTAAACCTCACGCCAGGCGCGTGTGCGTGCCCAGGATCCCGAGAGGAGAAGGGATTGTGGCGTGGCCATCCCCCCGGGGGGTGATTTCTCGCTTTCTGTCTCTCTATCTCCCTCTGTCTGGCAAGCGCACGCGCCCTATAGCAAAAATCTCTCAAAAAAAAAAATAAAAATTACCAGCATGAAATTTCATGATGTTCTTATAGAACACTGTCACTCGGGAACCAGCAGTTAGCGTAATGGCTATGTCGCTGGACTCCCACGTAGTCGACCGCGGTTCGCGTCCCAGACCCGGTGGCTTAGAACTCACGCCGGGCGCGTGTGCGTGCGTGCCCAAGATCCCGAGAGGAGAATGGAGGAGAAGGGATTGCAGCGTGACCATCCCCCCGGGGGGTGATTTCTCGCTTTCTGTCTCTATGTCTCTCTCTGTCTGGCGAGCGCACGCGCCCTATAGTGAAAATCTCTCCAAAAAAAAACACTGTCACTGTAAACTTTCTGCAACTTTTCACAAGTTTAACATGTGTTCTTCCCTTTGTGGAGGTAAAACAGTAAATATGGCAAAAATGCAGTTTGGTCTTCCATCTTAAAACTTGTTGTAAGATCTCTAAAACTCAACCAAGTCATCTAATTTTTTTAAATAATGAAGCTAAAACTGTCAACTGTCAAATGACATAGCAATAACATTGATGTAAATGACTGTAGCATTTCCAAAAATGAACTACCATCTGTTGCAAAAAATGTGTCATGACTTTCCGGGCAACCCAAAACATTGCTCTAATAACCCTGTATTTACCACAATAAAGACCATCTATCCTTGTGCATGTACACACACCTACAGATATACACATATTGAAGTTTTTAATAAAGGAAGAAACAACTTACCTTCTCTTGATAAAGGGAAGTGAGAGCATAAAAACAATGAAAGGTAGCTTGAACAATACTGAAAATTAATCAACACCCAGTATTGCTGACAAGAGAAGAATTAAGGAAGGACTTAGCAGTAAAGACAGATCTTATGGAGAGACCAGATGGATTACAAATTAATAACCAGGAAAAAAAGATCAAAAAAGAGGCCTATGCTAAGTGGTTATGTCCTATACTGAAGGAGTCAGATCTGGATAACCATGGTTTGAATTCCAGCCCCGTGACTTAAAAACCATGCCAGACACATATATATGACAAAATACTAAGATAAATAATTATGTATATACAAATATTCCAAAATATAAAAAAATTCAAAAATTTGAAACATTTCTAATCCTAGGCATTTTGGATAAGGGATATTCAACCTGTAAAATCAAATTCAGTAAAGAACATTATAAGAAAAATACTTGTAACAAAAGCCTAAAGCATGGAAAATTTACTTATCCTAAGAATTAAAACAGGCGCATTGCCCTTACAGCTATAGTTTATGGGAAATAAGAATGGGTACCACAGGCCTCCTGAATATCATGTAATTGTTCAATGTTAGTCCAGTACTCACATGTGGGAAGCAAGGTACCAAAGTTACACATGAAGAATCATCTTTAATGTACAGCTTTCCCTGGAGACATGGAGAAAGCTACATGATCTATCATTAGTTTTGTAATTTAAAAACAATTCAAGCCTGGCCCAGGTTGTGTTTGTAGTTGGATGCTGCTGGAGGGGGAACATGGGAGGGCCAGGTTTGGACACCAGACCAATCAAGAGCAAACTAGCATACACCTGGGATCCTAGCTAACAGGGACATTGCTAAGAAAGGACAGCAATGGCAAGACTCTGTCAAAAATACTTATCTTTTTCTCCCCTCTTCCCATTCTGTCTTTTTCCTTCACACTAAAAGTTATTTATCTACTCCATAATGGATTTTTTGTGTATATCTCACTCTTAAAAAGTGACAACATTCAATTTAATCCTTAGCTAACTTACCTATATAATTTAACTTATGTTAAATAATTCCAAAACTTTTATTCTATTAACTTTGTGCAAAATACTATAACAAGTCTATGTGGATTGTCCACATGTTACCCTATTTTACTACATTTGATATTTTAACTTGGAGCAATATTTTATTACCTAACTCCAAAGTGTCTGAAGGATTGAGGTGTAAACTCTTATTGCAAAATTGATTCACCTTCTTCTCCAACATTGTTACATCTTTCATTTGTGAATACTTCTGGATGTAGAAGTGGCAAGGATTTATTACATGGCTTACAAAAACTAGCTCTGGAGAACCTGGATAAGAATCACATTTAAACCATATTAATAAACCATGAGCTAGGAAAGAATTTACACAAGTAGAACAAATGTAATAACTTCTAAAATAATATGTTTCTTGTGGCATTGTGAACTCCAAATTAGGTCCACAAAAGAGTCCAAGCCCAAAATGACTGACAAAATAAATGAATCACCTTCTACAATTAATTCTTTTTTTTTTAAAGAGATATTTTTTGGGACCAGCAGGTGGCTTGGTTGTTAAGGCACTGGACACTCCCACCTGGCTGACCATGGTTCGAGTCCCAGACCTGGTACTTACTTTCTCGCTTTCTCTCTCTCTCTCTGTTTCTCTCTGGTCAAATTAAATGTAAAAATAAAGGAATGAATAAATAAACATTAAATAATAATAATAAAAATAGATATTTTTGCTATAGGGTACATGTGCTCACCAGAGAGACAGAAAGAAGTGAGAAATCATCCCCAGGGAGGGCCATGCTGCAAACACTTCTCCTCCATTCTCCTCTTGGGATCTTGGGCATGCATGCACATGCACCTACCTGGTGTGAGTTTTAAGTCACCAGATCTGGGACTCAAACAGTGGTTGACTATATGGGGGTTCAGTGAAATAACCATTATGTCGTCTACTGGTGTCCGATGAATTCTTTAGCAACTCGAATAGCAAAAACTTCATACTGGTTCATTGGAAAAGTCATGACGTATTTTTTTTCATGTTTATCTATGCAAAAATGCATCATGACTTTTCTGACAACCCAATATTACTTGCAAAATATGTTATGTAAATGGAATCACAGTTCATGTGATACATTCTAAAGTTGGTGTACATGATACAACTCCACTATCTTCCAAAACTTCAGTTTATTTATAAATATATTTGGAACTCAGAACACCACTGATGATGATCAGGTTTCTAGGACAGTCTCCTAAGGCTAACTCAATCTATATTATTCCTACAGAACCGATATAGCTTATAGCAATTGTGAATCCCAGTTCTTATAAGTCAGATTAGAAGAGTGATAAAATGTCTAGACAAAGTCAAAGTACTTACTAATATTTAAGAAAATGTGTGTGTGGGAGCCAGCAGGTGGTGTAGTGGTTAAGGTGCTGGACTCTCACATCACTGACCATTGTTTGAGTCCTAGACTTGAACACTTGAAATTCACACCAGGTCCATGTACCTGTGTGCCCAAAATCCCAAGAGGAGAATGGAGGAGAAAAGATTGCAGCATGGCCATCCCTCCTGAGGGGTGATATCTCACTTTCTCTCTCTCTCTGACTCTGTCTCTCTGGCGGCCGCACGTGCCCTATAGCAAAAATCTTTTTTTTTTTTTTTTTAAAAAAAAGGAAAGAAAATGTATGTGTGTGTGTGTGTCAGTAGATGTTGGGCAGGTAGAAGTGAAGACAGTGAGAAAAATTTCTGTCTATGAGTAATTAAACAAAGTGATTCAACTGATAAGTAAAGATCACAAAAGTATCCATTAAGGGAGGAATGCAAAAACAGAACAATGTGGGGTGAGCAGGTGGCATAGGGAATAAGACCCTGGACTCCCATATAGCCAATCATGGTTCAAGTCCTGGACCTGGTAGCTTGAAAATCATGCTAGGCATGTGTGTGTGCATGTCCAAATCCCAGAGGAAAATGGAGGAGAAAGGATTGTGGCATGGCCATCCCCCTTTGAGGAGGTGATTTCTCACTTTCTGCTCACTGTCTCTGTCTCTCTCTGGTGAGCACATGCCTTCTCCTCCATTCTCCTCTTGGGATCTTGGGCATGCATGCACATGCACCTACCTGGTGTGAGTTTTAAGTCACCAGATCTGGGACTCAAACAGTGGTTGACTATATGGGGGTTCAGTGAAATAACCATTATGTCATCTACTGGTGTCCGATGAATTCTTTAGCAACTCGAATAGCAAAAACTTCATACTGGTTCATTGGAAAAGTCATGACGTATTTTTTTTCATGTTTATCTATGCAAAAATGCATCATGACTTTTCTGACAACCCAATATTACTTGCAAAATATGTTATGTAAATGGAATCACAGTTCATGTGATACATTCTAAAGTTGGTGTACATGATACAACTCCACTATCTTCCAAAACTTCAGTTTATTTATAAATATATTTGGAACTCAGAACACCACTGATGATGATCAGGTTTCTAGGACAGTCTCCTAAGGCTAACTCAATCTATATTATTCCTACAGAACCGATATAGCTTATAGCAATTGTGAATCCCAGTTCTTATAAGTCAGATTAGAAGAGTGATAAAATGTCTAGACAAAGTCAAAGTACTTACTAATATTTAAGAAAATGTGTGTGTGGGAGCCAGCAGGTGGTGTAGTGGTTAAGGTGCTGGACTCTCACATCACTGACCATTGTTTGAGTCCTAGACTTGAACACTTGAAATTCACACCAGGTCCATGTACCTGTGTGCCCAAAATCCCAAGAGGAGAATGGAGGAGAAAAGATTGCAGCATGGCCATCCCTCCTGAGGGGTGATATCTCACTTTCTCTCTCTCTCTGACTCTGTCTCTCTGGCGGCCGCACGTGCCCTATAGCAAAAATCTTTTTTTTTTTTTTTTTTTAAAAAAAAGGAAAGAAAATGTATGTGTGTGTGTGTGTCAGTAGATGTTGGGCAGGTAGAAGTGAAGACAGTGAGAAAAATTTCTGTCTATGAGTAATTAAACAAAGTGATTCAACTGATAAGTAAAGATCACAAAAGTATCCATTAAGGGAGGAATGCAAAAACAGAACAATGTGGGGTGAGCAGGTGGCATAGGGAATAAGACCCTGGACTCCCATATAGCCAATCATGGTTCAAGTCCTGGACCTGGTAGCTTGAAAATCATGCTAGGCATGTGTGTGTGCATGTCCAAATCCCAGAGGAAAATGGAGGAGAAAGGATTGTGGCATGGCCATCCCCCTTTGAGGAGGTGATTTCTCACTTTCTGCTCACTGTCTCTGTCTCTCTCTGGTGAGCACATGCGTTAAAACCTTAAAAACAACAATGAAGCAAAACTGTATTGTGTGATGTATTCTCTGTAAAAAGAAAACACAAACAGAAAAAGAGGGTTAGAAGAATAATTTATATTTATTTGCATATGCATAAAGAAACTCTGGAAATGAGATCATCAGATAGCATCATAGCTACGTCGCTAGACTCCCACATAGTCAACTGTGGTTCAAGTCCCAGATATGGTGGCTTAAACTCACACCGGGCATGTGTGCATACACCGAAGATCTCAAGAAAATGGAGGAGAGGGGATTTTGGCGTGGCCATCCCCCTGGGGGGTGATTTCTTGCTTTCTGTCTGTCTCTGTCTTTCTGGTTAGTGCACGTTCCCTATAGCAAAAACCTCTCCAAAAAACAAAACAAAACAAACAAAAAAAACCAACCAAACAAAAAAATAAAACCTCTGGAAAAAACTCTGGAAAGGAGGGAGAGACTGAATGGGAATGAGGTAGGTGAAGGAAGTTTTAGAATATTTTAATATATATTCATTTTTGAAAAATATATATGCTCTGTTTAATTTTACTGAGATGGAGGAGTGGAACTGAATGCAACCAAGTATAGATATACAATAGGAACCAAAAAAATGGATCATTTTGCTACTCAACATAAACTACAAAGAATAATACTCACATTAACAATAGGGTATAAAGCTAAATAGCTATATTTGGGGCGATAGTTGAGAGAAATACTATAAATTTCAGAAATATTTTAAAAAAAAAGATCCAAAATGTTTAACCTTGTTTTCCTGTTTTTGATTTATTCTCATTCCTTTAAATGTATGTGTGTGTTTGTGTGTGTGTGTGTTTGCCATAGGGTGCATACACTTGCCAGAGAGAGACAGAGGGAAAGTTCTCACTGCCCCCTACCCCCCCAACCTCACAAGGGATAGCTATGCCTACAGTCCCTCTTTCTCGAGTCTCCTCTCAAGATTTTGAGCACACACACACACACACATGCCCAGCATGATTTTCAGGCATCCAGGTTTAGGACTCGAACTGTGCAGAAGGCCATGTGGGATCTGGCATCTTAACCTCCACACCACCTGCTGGCCAAATTCTCATTCTTTTTGTTCTCATGCACATTTCTTTTTCTTTTTTTCAACTGCCTGAGGGTGCATGTGCTCACCAGAGACGGAGACAGAAAGGGAGAAAGTGCCCCCCAGTGGGATGTGGTTATGCTGTGATTGCTTCTCCATTTCTCTATCCTGCTGGGATTTAGGACAAGTACTCACACACCCACTGTGTTTTTCAAGCTACCAAGGCCAGGAACTGTGGTCAGCCATATGGAATCTGGCTCCCTTAACCACTTGGTCATGGGGCTAAGCTAAGAGTCACAACTTTTAACACTAACATGGAAGAAGTCTGGGGCCAGAAAGTGGTGTAGTAGTACCATGTCACTCTGAAATGCTGGACCCATGTGAGAAGGTCCTGAGTTCACGTCTCAAGTTCTCCCTGTACATGCTGGTCACATGCATACATTCTCATCACATGCATAAATGCTGAGTTGGCTGAGGCAGGGGGTTGGCTGAGGCAGGGGGTAGACTGAGATGTGATAACCCTGTCGAGGTTATCTCTCTTCCACCACTCATCCCTTTTTCTTTGTTTCTCTCTCAGAAGAAATAAATGAACAAAAAAGGCAAAAAGGGGGGGAGGGGAAGGCTTCATTATCAGTCACATTTCTTATCGCCTCACACGAGATAAGTTACTAAACATAGAGCAAATCCAGTACGTCAAACTCAGACAGTGGTTACAGTACCTGCTTTTGATCCAAAAGAAACAGATGGTTTTTCCTGGAGAGGTGTTTTTGGGTATCTAGGTGTCTCCACAAGAGAATCTGAGAAGCATGCTCCAACAAAATAAGAAATAAAAACAACTATACTGATTTTGTTAATGTTGACAATGACATGCTATTGCTTAAAAAGCTGTACTTGATTTGGTGAAATACTAGAATGACAAGACTTCTGTATCAGTAAGTAAAGTCATGGTAAGTTATCTTAAGTCACCGAGATAGGGGTGTTAATAAAAGAGTGGAAAGGAAAGAAAAATGTGTCTTTTTGTATTAAAAATGTCATTCTGAAGAGTCAGTCAGTAAAACAGACAATGGTGATGGAAAGAACCCAAAGCTTATCTTGAAAATTCTCTTAAAGACAACAGCGAGTTTAAAACTAGAGTAGTATCTCACTCCTTTGTAACAGAGAGAGAATACCAACACTGGAAATCTAATCAGACTGTGATACACTTAAATGTTATGAAACAGTTGATATTCTATTCATGATAGTGTACAACAATGATTTAAGAGAAGCCATTATTTATTGCAGGACAAAGTAATGAAACTGCTTCCACAAATCATCTCTCTCATTTATTTATAACTTTTACACAAGGCTTTGATGTGGAATACTTTTAGTAGATTATTAAAAATCAAATATCCTAATTACACAAAATACTAAGTTTATACCTCAGAGGTTAAATGCTATGTTACATTAAAAATAAAAATTATTCTATCTTTGGAAAATGTGAGTTGAAGTATGAAATCAATACATTTGAACTCAAAAATAAGTATAAAATTATAATACATTTTTGTGAAGTATATGGAACAAAAAGGTACCAGTTGTTTCTGAATACAGATATAAGCCCCCTCCCCTTCGCTTTCATATTTTCACTCACTTTCTGGGTTTTCTTCAATAATTTCTTCAATTATTACATCAGGGCTAGATCCCATTTGCGGTAGCACAGCAATAGTTTTGGAGCACGTTGAAACAATCTCCTTCTGTGACTGGATCTTTTTTGCTTCTAAATGTACATCACTTGTTTCTGGTTGCGAAGGCAGTGGTGGTGCTTCATTGGTTCGAACAGGTATACCAACCTTTTTCTTTTCTAGTGATGGGTATGTATCATGACAAGATAGCTCCTTTTTATTATCACATTTCTTTTGAACATTCTGTCCAATTTCAGTATCTTGAGGAGAACATCTGTGTAAAAATACAGAGGTAAATGGTACTTTGAATAATTTCATAAATTTCTAATATTGACTTTCAAGCCATTCCCTGTCCACATGAGTTAATACTGTGACACATACAAAAGGTGAAAATTGTCTTGATGCACCAGAGGTATTTTTAAAAACGATTTTATCGATGTATATATATAATTTGTATACAGTAAAATTTAATGGTTTTTACTAAATATACATTGCTGTCCAACCTGCACTACAACCTACTTTTAGAAATTTCCATCACCCAAAAAGAACCTTTGTGCATTCCCAGCTCTAAGCAGTTCCAGGGTGCTAAAAGATCCAGAAGAGATACAATCAACAAAACTAACCAAAGAATTTTATGTAGTTATGTTACAATGATTTGATACTGAAAGATCAGTAGATAAGGGTTTTCAAAAGATCTTAGGGACCATCAGAAGACATAATGGTTACATTGCTGGACTCCCACAGGGCCAAGTACAGTTCGACTGGGGGACCTGGTAGCTTAAAACTCACGCCAGGTGCATGTCCGTACGTGCTCTAAATCCCAAGAGGAGAACAGAGGAGAAGGGACTGAGGTGTAGCCATCCCCCCTGGGGGGAGGGGGTTATTTCTTGCTTTCTGTCTCTCTGGCAAGTGCACATACTCTATAGCACAATTCTTTTTTTTTTTTTTTTTGAGAGTTTTTTTTGCTATAGGGTGCGTGCGTTCACCAGACTGACAGAGAGACAGAAAGCGAGAAATCACCCCCCAGGGGGGATAGTCACGCCGCAATCCCTCCTCCTCCATTCTCCTCTTGGGATCTTGGGCACGCACACACACGCACCTGGCGTGAGTTTAAGCCACGGGGTCTGGGATGCAAACTGCGGTCGACTACATGGGAGTCCAGCGACATAGCCATTACGCTAACTGCTGGTCCCTGATTTTTCTTTCTTTTTGGAGAGGTTTTTTGCTATAGGGCATGTGCGCTCGCCAGAAAGCCAGAGAGAGACAGAGACAGAAAGTGAGAAATAACCCCCCAGGGGGGATGGCCATGCCGCAATCCCTTCTCCTCCATTCTCCTCTTGGGATCTTGGGTATGCACGCATACGCGCCCGGCGTGAGTTTTAAGCCACGGGGTCCGGGATTCGAACCACGGTCAACTACATGGGAATCCAGCGACATAGCCATTATGCTAACTGCTGGTCCCTAGATATATGATTTTTGAGATTAAAGCTAGTCTTTAAAAAATAAAGTGCAGGAGACCAGCCGGTAGCATGGAGGTTAAGACGCTGGATCAAACTTGGCTGGCTGTGAGGTTTGAGTCCCAGATCAAGCAGCTTGAAAATCACGCTGCACACATACGCCTGTGTGCCCAAAAATCTCAAGAGGATACTGGAAAAGGGACTGCAGTTTGACCATAATCCCTGGGAGATGATTTTTTGCTTTCTGTTTCTCTCCTTTTCTCCCTCTGGCAAGTGCACATGTCCTATAGCAAACAAACAGACACAAAAGCCAAAACAAACAAAAAATTAAAAAAATAAAGTTCAGGAAACAGTGAATGATACAACCTTGAGAAATCACTAAAAGTTCTACCAAGTCTAATAATCACTATTAATCTGAATCCTTTGGGCATGATTATTTAATAGCCACTAACCCATAGCTAATTATTTTTCATCTTTATTCCTTATCTTTATCTCTTCTCCACATACCCAGACAGTTTTAGGCTATCAAATATAGAATTATAAAAATCTTATAATAACATGAGATTGAGTCTCATAGGGTTTGTATTTTAGTTAACTCATGACAGATTTAGCTTCTTCACAGATCAGAAATAAGATCATTTTAGAGAACCAACAGAGTCAACTGGATTTAACAATGACATGTCAATGTGTCTCTTCCAACAGAGGGCATATATTTAACCTGGTAAGTAAAATTAATATATGCTGAATAAAAGTCCAAACATATATGAGAGAGACACACAAGGTGTGTATGTATATACACACACAAATTTACAATCTAAATAGCTTTTTTTTTTTTAAGAAAGGTTTTTGCTATAAGGTATGTACGTTTTCTAGAGACAGAGAGAAAGTGAGAAAGTATTGACTGGGGGGATGGCCACACCACAATCCTTTCTCCTCCATTGTCCTCTTGGGATTTTGGGCATGTACACATGCCGGGACCAGTTCAGCATGAACACATTTTTCTGAGTGAGGAAGGCTATGGATTAGAAATAGACGCAATAACAAAGACACACAAGTATAGAAAAGCGAGGATTGGGTGGGTACAGCCTCTCTGATGGAGAAGTTGCTTCCAGAACCAGCCTCAGGTTTATTTTTTCAAAGGGCAGAAAATGGGGGAAGGGAAAAATGGGATGCAAAGGGAATGGGGAAGAAGTGGAATGCAAAAAGAATAGGGGAGGAGGAATCAGAATACAAAGTCAGTTGTTTTTGGATATAAATCATCTGAAGATGTGAAAATGACTGGTGCCATATAATTCTCTGGTCTTTTTTGGGGGACAATCTAATAAACGCATGTGGCTTCCTTCCAGTATGGGGTACTGGATATCAACAACAGGAAGATAACCATGAACAGCAGACCAATACTGCTTTCATATGTAAATGCTTCTCAATAGCCCTGATAATGTAGCTTAGGGAAATGCGTTTCTGCATGTGTCTACAGGCCACATGTTTTCATCACATGTTTTCAGACTCTACACACACACACACACACACACACACACACACACTCTCCGCATGAGTTTCAAGCCACCAGGGCTGGGACTTGAACCACAGTCAGCCATGTGGGAGTCCAGCTTAACCACATGCCACCTTCTGGTCCCATAAATAGCTCTATTCAAAACAACATTTATTAGACCTTATTGAGACATTTACTACCCCAATCCAAATCCAGTCTTAGACTTGTAAGAATACCATTTTCTTCTGTACTCCTTCAGCCTCTAACTGTTCCTTCTAAGTATTATTTTTTAACATGTTATCCATTCTCTGCTTTAAATTAAAAATAATTTGAGGGTAATGTCCTTGGTCTATTTTAATACCCAATTTCACTGGGCAAACCCATGGTTTAATTACTGTAAGGTCTGGGGGAAGGGAAAAGAAACATGGCAGAAACACTCCGGCTGGCAGAACTTTCCTGTTTTCCGCATCTGGCCTGCCATCACCAACGGACTTTCCCGGTCTTCAGCATTTGGTGCGACTGCCAAAGTTGAACAGAAACTTCACTGGCCAGACAAGGACCGGTGGTGACCACCTACTGGACAAGAGCCCTTTAAGAACAAGCAGCACCCACCCTGGGCATGACTCCCTCGGCCTCTGACCAGGCCAGACTTGTAAACCATTTAGGATGTGCCCCTTTTCCTCATTCCTCATATTCAAACATTACTAAGTTTTATTATTTTCCCCTGTTTATAATTTGTCATATCTATTCTGTCTGATCCAAAGCTATCAACTAAATTTGGTTTTCATAATTTGCTAAGTCTATGGATACAGTAGCCTGATGGGGCCATGCAGACAATACAAGCTGGTAAAGAGGCTGTTTCCCATGTCTAAAGGCAAGGCCTGGGCTGGGAAGAAACTGCGAGACAAGGACGGCGGTTTACTAACCCTCCTTGTGTCGTTTTACTGGCCTGTAGTTAATTTCTCTGCTGTGAGTTTTGCTGTTATTACGGTACCCTGCAAGGTTAAAATATCACCCCCAACCATTACAATAAAGCCAATTAGTGATCTTGTAGGAATGTGGTTTCCTAAGACCACGCACGCACACACGGGAGGGAGGGAAGTTTGAGACTCCCCCACCTGTCTGTTTTAGTCAAAATTAACATATGTTAAGATTAAGTTAGTATAAGCCAAATTAGCATTAGTAACATATGTAGATTAAGTTAGTTTAAGGCTAGTTTTATGTAAATACCCCTTGTTAAACCTATAGACCAAAGTTAGCTGTGCTAGGCAAAGTCAGCACATTCACCCAGAGATAAAACAAAAGAACTCACTAATTGACAGACTCAGCAAATAAAACAAAAACCCATGGGTTTTTTAAGAAAGGAAAAGCCTGACTGACTACGACAGGATGAACAAACCTGAAGGCTCCAGGGAAAGATTATCTTAGCGGGGAGCTCTTTTCTAAAGCAACAGGTAGTTTTCAACTACAAAGAGTTTTTCATCTATGTGCTGCTGACTATGAAAAACTGCTAATAAAACATCCTATGTTGTCTCCTGACCTACAAGATCACCTTCCTTTCCCATACAGATAATAGACTCACCCTCTATTGTAATATATAGATAGTCCATATATTAACTGTGTCTTTACTTAACAAGACAAGATTTCTATCTAGGCCTTTGTAACCAGCCCTGGCCCGGGACTGAAGTTATCAAACTGGCCTGGGACTGAGGCTATCAAACATCCTGCAAAACCCCTCTTCAAAAGACCCTTCTGGGAACCAGCAGTTAGCATAAAGGCTATGTCGCTAGACTCCCACGTAGTCAACTGCAATTCACGTCCCGGACCCGGTGGCTTAAAACTCACGCCGGGCGCGTGTACGGGCATGCCCAAGATCCCGAGAGGAGAATGGAGGAGAAGGGATTGCGGCGTGACCATCCCCCCTGGGGGGGTGATTTCTCATTTTCTGTCTCTATGTCTCTCTCTGTCTGTCTGGTGAGTGCATGTGCCCTATAGCGAAAACCTCTCAAAAAAAAAAACCTACAAAAAAAAAAAAAAAAAAAAAAAAAAAAGAAAAAAAATTAAAAAAAAAAAACCTTTCCCAGTAATCAAGATCTAAGAAGATACTACAGACAAACGGACTTCCTCATCCTAAAAACTGCGATTGATTTTTTACCTAATCTGACAAAACAAACAGCATTTTTTATAATTATTGTTTCCATGCTTTGTATACCCTGTTCCTTAGAGTAGATTTTTTACTACCCGCCACCCCTCTTACTTCCTAAACATCCCTCAATAAATATGCATGTTTTAATAGCCACAGGACTGTGGTTTGGAGTTTTGCTCTGAGTATAGCCAGTTAAAAACATGCTAAAAAGTATTGAGGTTTTAGCCTAATTCTGTTCACCTGCGCTGCCTCTGACGAGTCAACCCACCCCTGCTGAGGCTGGACCCCGGCAGTAGCCTAACTTGCTTCTTCACCCTCTATCATCATACTCTTCCAAGTAATCCCCTAAATGGACACCAGCGTTATCCTTTAAAAATGCACTTTATTTCATGCTTAAAACCACTTAGTGATGGGGGACCAGCAGATGGCGTAATGGTTACATCACAGACTGTGGTTAGAGTGTCAGACCTAGCTGCTTAAAACTCACGCAGCAGGGCCTGTGTGCCTATGTGCCCAAGATCCTGACAGGAGAATGGAGGAAAAGTGATTGCAGCGTGGCCATCACCCTGGGGAGTGATTTCTCACTTTCTGTCTATCTCTCTTTGTCTCTCCGGCAAGTGTACTCGCCCTATAGTAAAAATCTTTCAAAAAAAAAAATTTAGTGGTAGGCCAGCCAGTAGTATGGTAAAGGTAGCTGGATCCTACATTACCAACTGTGCAGTTCAAATCCCATATCCTTACAAAACACATTTGATATGTGTGCATACATGACCCAAATCCCAAGGAGAATAAAGGAGAAGGGACTATGGTATGGCCATCCCCTTTGAGGAGTGTCTCTGTTTCTAGTGAGAGCATAATCCCTAAAGCAAATTAAAACAAAAACAAAACAAAACAAAACCCTTAGTGGATTGCTATTGTTTAGAGCTGTACTGTCCAATAGAAATTTAAGTGATAATGAAATATGCCCTATTTTCTAATATAATGCTATAGTCTGAATGTTCCTTAAAAATTCATCTTGAAATTTAATTCCCATGGTGATGGGATTAAGAGGTAGGGCCTTTTGGAAAGTGATTAAGCCCACATGAATCAATTAGTGCCATATAAAAGGGCTGGAGGGAAGGTTAGGCCCTTTCTAAAAACCTTCTGCTCTTTTACCATGTGATGACAAATTTGTTCCTCTTGCCTTTCCATCCCCCTTCTTCCACTTCATGAGGATACAGTGTTCAAAGTACCATCCCAAAAGCACAATCAGGACCTTCACTAGACACTGAACCCACCAGCACCTTGATTTTAGATTCCCCAGGCACCAGAATCATGAGGAAATTAAGTTTCTGTTCTTTGTACATTACCTGGTTTCTTACAGCAGCATAAACTAAGATAGTTGCCACTAACCACTATTTGGCTGCTGAGCACTTGAAATGTAGCTAGTAGACCTGACAAACTGAATTTAATATTTTATTTAGTTTAAATTAATTTATACTTATATCTAAATAACCACACATGGTTAAGTAACTACCATATCAAACATCGAGGATCTAGTAAATAAAGTTCAAACAGCTGTTTAAGCACAGCATACAAAGTCTTTAGGATTTAGACTGTATGTACCCTTCTGGATATAAAGAACAATTATGTATGCAGTTCCCTAAAATAGCATGCTATATTCTTTTTTTTTAAAGACAGGTTCTCTCTCTTTGGGATAGGTATATGCCACCATACCCAGCTCTTTTTCAGACAGAATCTTGCTGTATTATCCAGGCTAGTCTTGCACTCACAATCCTCCTATCTCATTTTCTCTGAATCTCTGAGATTACAGGCACATGTAACCATGTCTAGGCTTTAGGTTGACCTGGGAATTAAACCTAGGCCTTCCATGTAGTCCCAGCAGGCACAGCAGAACACCTTAGTAGTGTGTACCACTGTGGCTGACATTACCCATATACTTCTAAGACGTCTACACCCCATGTCTTCCTTTCTACTTGCTACTCATTTTTCATGGATAAGGGAAAATGAAATCTCTTTCCAGTCTCCTGTTACCCCAGGAAGAACTGATCATTCTCTCTCTATGCGGTGCCACTAAATTCTGCACATATTATCATAGCAGTTATGCATTTTATTGTTTGTGTCTGTCTTCCTCTACTTATTATAATTTCTGTCATATACCTCAATATCTAGGATATTTGTGCCAAGCACAAAATCAACGTTCAATGCTTATTGACTGAATACATTTCAAATTTTGACACATGTATATACTGATCCCTTCTAGGTCTTTGTTAAAAAAAATATATACCTAGAACTCAGGTATACCATAGGATTTATCTTGCCCTTTTTATGTTTTGTTTCTTTTCTGTTTTTGTTTTGTTTTGTTTTATAGAGAGATTTTTGCTGTAGAGCGTGTGTGCTCACTAGAAAGAGAGAGACGGAAAGTCAGAAAGTGAGAAATCACCACCACCACCCCCCCCAAGGGTGACAGCCACATTGCTACCCCTTCTCTTCCATTCTCCTCTTGGGACCTTGGGAACATGCATATGTTCCCAGCATGAGTTTAAGCCTCAAGGTCTAGGGCTTGAACGATAGTCAACTATGTGGAAGCCCAGCAACATAACCATTATCACCATCTGCTGGTTCTTATTTTTAGCTTTTGAATCATACCAAACATCAATTTTTCTTTTAGGTAATGTGAGCACTTTATTTTTTTTTTTCTTTTTTTGGAGAGGTTTTTGCTATAGGGTGCGTGAGCTTGCCAGAAAGAGAGAAACAGAGAGACAGGAAGCGAGAAATCACCTCCCGGTGGGATTACCACATCGCAATCCCTTCTCCTCCATTCTCCTCTCGGGATCTTGGGCACGCACGCACAGGCGGAAGAACTGATCATTCTCTCTCTATGCGGTGCCACTAAATTCTGCACATATTATCATAGCAGTTATGCATTTTATTGTTTGTGTCTGTCTTCCTCTACTTATTATAATTTCTGTCATATACCTCAATATCTAGGATATTTGTGCCAAGCACAAAATCAACGTTCAATGCTTATTGACTGAATACATTTCAAATTTTGACACATGTATATACTGATCCCTTCTAGGTCTTTGTTAAAAAAAATATATACCTAGAACTCAGGTATACCATAGGATTTATCTTGCCCTTTTTATGTTTTGTTTCTTTTCTGTTTTTGTTTTGTTTTGTTTTATAGAGAGATTTTTGCTGTAGAGCATGTGTGCTCACTAGAAAGAGAGAGACAGAAAGTCAGAAAGTGAGAAATCACCACCACCACCACCCCCAAGGGTGACAGCCACATTGCTACCCCTTCTCTTCCATTCTCCTCTTGGGACCTTGGGAACATGCATATGTTCCCAGCATGAGTTTAAGCCTCAAGGTCTAGGGCTTGAACGATAGTCAACTATGTGGAAGCCCAGCAACATAACCATTATCACCATCTGCTGGTTCTTATTTTTAGCTTTTGAATCATACCAAACATCAATTTTTCTTTTAGGTAATGTGAGCACTTTATTTTTTTTTTTCTTTTTTTGGAGAGGTTTTTGCTATAGGGTGCGTGAGCTTGCCAGAAAGAGAGAAACAGAGAGACAGGAAGCGAGAAATCACCTCCCGGTGGGATTACCACATCGCAATCCCTTCTCCTCCATTCTCCTCTCGGGATCTTGGGCACGCACGCACAGGCACCCAGCATGAGTTTAAGCCACCCGGTCCGGAACTCGATCCGCGGTTGGCTACATGGGAGTCCAACAACATAGCCATTACGTTAACTGCTGTTCCCAATAATGTGAGTACTTTTAATGACATGTTGCCAGTCTTATAAATACTTACTTTGCTGAGTCATCAAATTCAAATTTTCCCATATTGTTGAACATACAGATGATCTTACTGCAATCCACATTCAACCTAAAATAAAATGCTGATATATAAGTAAATGTTCTAATATAAGTTTATTACTTTCTCTAAATAAAATTCAGTTGCTGACATTAAAATAATTAACTTAAAAGATTTAAAGAGCTAATATATCATTGGGTCAGCAGATGGGATGGAAGTTAAGGCACTGGACCTTACATGGCAGACTTTGGAGTTTGAGTCTCAGATCTGATGGCTTGAAAATTATACTCGGCACCTGTGTGTGCATCCCCAAAATCCTGAAAGAATTGAGGAGAATGGATTGCAGCATGGGCATCTTTCAGGAAAAGACTTCTCGTCTCCCATCTCTGTCTGCCTCTCTCCAGCAAGCCCATGAGCCTTATAACAAAAAAACAAACAAACAAAAACCATACACAAAAAAACTAATGTATCATAAAGTCATATTTATTTTAATTTGACTGCTAACTTTGGAAACATTATTGACACAAAATTTTCAATTTATAATTGCTTGCTATTTTAACAAGTTTTAGCTCTAATACATTTCTAAACTTGCTATGGTCTCCTGAATTATGACTTAACTCACCTGGGAGGGTTCCTTAGTTTCAGAGAACTAACTTGTGACAACTCATTCTCAAATGTTAACTTCAAAGTCCGAATGATCTAGAATCAAACAGAAAGTGTCATTACTCATGTACAAATGTTCTTTTGTCAAAAATAATAATGAAACTACAATTTTAGAGGAGAAAACTGTATCTTTTAAGTATTCAGATATTTCATTAATGCGATCCAGACTCAATTTGGGGCCCTCAAAGGAAGGGATACAATAAATGTTTTTACTTTATTCCCTAATGAAGTTTAAAATTGCTTAGAAATATATATTACTAGAGGCTAGCAGGTGGTGTGATGGTTAAAGGTGCTGGATTCCACCTTGGCTGACTACCACTTGAGTCCCAGACCTTGCAGCTTGCTTTCTTGTTTCCCTTTCTCACTCTGGTCGGATTAAAAAATAATAAATGAAATTAAATAAATAACTTTTTAAAAAATAATTCTTGAAAAAAGAAATATATATTAATAAATAATGACTACCATAGACAATAGCTAATAAGTAGGTATAGAAACATGATCAGAGAAATGATGATCAGATTTTTTTTATACCTATGTTGTAATCTTCAAATATTTTCTCATTTTTTGTCCCATTTTCCTAACTAGACCAATTAGGGTGAAGACCAATAATCATTTTTTCACCTCCTACTACATTATATGTAATACATAGGAAATGACTTTTTTTTTTTTTTTTAAGAGAGTTTTGCTATAGGATGTGTGTGCTCACCTGGGAGACAGAAAGAGACAGAGAGACAGAAAGGAGAAATCACCCCCCAGGGGGATGGCCACAATATAATCTCATCTCCATTTTCCTCTTGGGATTTTGGGCATGTATGCACACATGCCCGATGTGAGTTTTAATCCGCCAGGTCCAGGACTTGAACCGTGGTCAACCATGTGGGAGTCCAGCGACATAATCATTATGGCATCCGCTGGTCCCTGACTATTATTGTTTTAAGAACTAGAGGTGAGGGACCAGCTACTACTCCCACGTAGTCGACTGCGATTCGAGTCCCGGACCCGGTGGCTTAAACTCACGCTGGGCATGTGTGCATGTGTGCCCAAAATCTCAAGAGAAGAATGGAGCAGAAGGGACTGCAGCGTGGTCCTCTCTTCTTGGGGGTGATTTCTTGCTTTCTGTCTCTCTGTCTCTCTCTTTGTCTTTCTGGTGAGCGCACATGCCCTATAGCAAAAACCTCTCAAAAAAAAAAGAGGTGAAGGAAGGCTAGCAAAGTAAGGTGGCAGAAAAGTCTCCTCCTTTCATGTAAGTTACAGATTCTGGAGGCAAGTAAATAAATGACTTCTATTTTATACCTCAGTTTAGCCCAAACGTTTGATTATCTATAGGAAATAAGATGTAGACGATCCAAAGATAAACAGAGCTTATTACACCCTCAGAGAGCTAGGCAGATACTAGCAAAAAGGAACTCTAGTTAACCTTATCCTACCAAACTGTCTTAAGAAACATGTTTCTCTCTCTCTCTTTTTTTATCCCAATTCTATACCCCAGGTAAAGGATCAGATGATAGGAGATAGCTAAAACAATTTGTCTCTTGACTTGAATATTTTGGAAGGGGACTAGGGAGAGAAAAAACTTGAATGGGATCTTGAATTTAAAAAAAAATTTTTTTTTGAGAGGTTTTTGCTATAGGGTGCATGCACTCGCCAGAGAGACAGCAAGATATCACCCCCCAGGAGGGATGGCCACACCACAATCCCTTCTCCTCCATTCTCCTCTCGGGATCATGGGCACGCATGCACATGCACCTGCCATGAGTTTAAGTCACTGGGTCCGGGACTCAAACCACAGTCAACTACATGGGAGCCCAGCGACATAGCCATTACGCCAACTGCTGGTCCCTTGAATTAAAATTTTAAGTTAAGAGTTGACTGCCACATCTAAATTGTTCATGAGATGAAAACAAAGTCCCATTTAGTTTGCTGTTGTTATTTGTCATTTTCTCTCTCTCTTTTTTTTTTTTTTTTAAATTTTGCTATAGGGTGTGTACATTCACCAGAGAGAGAGAATAAAAGAGAGAGAGGAAAAGTAGGAATTCATTCCCCAGGTGGGATGACCACTTTGCAATCCCCTCTCTTCCATTCTCTCAGGACTTTGGGCTCAAATACACATGTGCTCCAGTGTGATTTTCAAGTTGCCAGATCTGGGATTCAAATCGTAGTTGGCTATGTGGGATAGAGCTGCCTTAACCTCCACACCACCTGCTGGTCCAAATAACTGATATTTTAAAATTAACTGGGCCTGTAGAATCTGTGGAGACTAATTTTTCCAGCAGCCCAATGTAGCCCCTTCCCTTACCTCCATATCGTCTGTTGGCCCTTCTCTTATTTCTTTTGGTTTTAATCAACATACAATGAGGTATAGAATAACTTTTCAGCATAAAATATAACAATCAAACTGATAACTAGAATATTAATCAGCTCAAACATTTATCATTATTTTGTATTGGGAACATTAAAAAAAATCCTCTTTAGCCACGATGAGACATGATCTCAGTCAACTTAGAATTGCTATCATCAAAAAAAAAAAAAAAAAAAGGGAACCCACAGTTAGCGTAATGGCTAT